GTGTATCTACATAATTGGGACAGACGAAAGGTGGAGAGCTCAACGAAACCCCAACCGGGGGAGACACACCTTCAGCTCGAATCAAAGTCAAAAGTCACCGCCCTCGGGGTCGAGCCCGCCATTTGACACCGCCGTAGACGGCTGACTGACAACTTAATTGTGGTGCCTGGACAAACAAGTTCTGTATTTTGGACATTAACGAGCAGGTGGGAGGCGGGTGGGAGCCGGGGTCGCGGCAAACTTTCAACGCAGCCCCAAACCCAGTGACAACATTAATAATTCAATTTCTTGTGGGGCCACAAACGGAAGAGGAACCAGGAACCAGGAACCGCGCACGTACCTCCCACTTTCTCCACGGATGTTGTTGCCCCAATATTTGGCAATTACTTTCTGTTTGGCTCTAGCAGGCGGCAGGTGAAAGCGATATCCTTAATCTATTTAACCTTCATGTCAACTGGGTCTAGGGGGGGACGGGGGGATGGGCTGGGGTCTAAATTACCTTTCCCTGGGCGCCTTTGGGCGTGTCGGCACATCCTGTCACGGGGGCTAAAGTGTCGTTTTAATAAGCGCTTCGTAGAGTCACCTTTTTTCCCTCTCCCCCTCTCCACCCCTCCTCCCGTACAGGCCTGCTTTCATTTTTGCTAATGGCCCACACGACGGCCATTGTAAATCTGCCTAGACGACCCAAAACCCCCCTCCTCCTAGCCATTTCTGATGCCAAAAACACTTGTGCCGGAACCGAAGCTCCTTGGGGAGCTGCAGTTATGCATTCCGGCAAATGAAGTGGTTATTAAGGCACCAACAAGGCCCCAACTTGAGGGTTTGTCCCTCCTCGAAGACCCAGCTGCGTGGAAATCTAAGGAATCCCCAGCAGAAAAATACAAACCGAAGGACATTCACAGCCCTGCTTCGGTGTCGTACGAATTTGTGTGCCTCTTGTGGGCTTTTTGATTTAGGAAATTTAAAATATATTTTTCTTAAGGGGAAGACATTGAAATATTTGGGACTTAGGGATGGGTTTTGTATAGTTTTGCCAGAGGAAAGCGTTTCCCACCTCAAAGTGCAGGCATAGCCCTGTCTGTCTGTCTGTACGTCTCTCTCTTACACCTATTTTGTATCCAGAAAGGGGCTCCATCTCACAAACGATGAAACTGTGGCATTCCTCGGCCCTTGCCGCAGCTCACAGCGTTCCCTGTCGATTTTTGTCCCATTTGCGGCCACGCACTCGATCACTCCTCCTCCAACGGCTCCTCCTCTTCGATATTTGTGGCTAATACGTTGCCAAGTGGTGCCAAGTGTTATTGCACTAGGATGGATGGATGGAGAGTCATTCAAGTGTCCATCAAATGCTGAAAGCTCTGAGATACAGCTCCATTTTGACATCCAATTCTCGAGTGAGGCTGCGGTGATGTAACTAACAGATACAAATCTGCTGGAAATACATCTGCAGCTGCAGGACGACGAACATAATCAAAATTAAAATAAGAATCTCATCGCTCAGCCGCAGACAAAGACAGACAGAGACAGAGAGGGAGAGAGAAAGATACATTCCGGCAGATATGAGACACGGCGAACAAACGACAAAACGACTCCAACAAATTACGCTTTTTCTTTCGCTTTATTGTCGGCAATTTATCCGCAGCTAAATTGAAATACACACCATTTACCTGCAGACAACTGACTCCTTGGACAGTGACAAAACGGGTACGGGTCGGAGTACGGGTCGGGCTACGGGTCGGAGTACGGGTGGGGCTACGGGTCGGGGTTAGATCGTGACATCATCTTCTGGTGACCTGCAGTCAGATGGGTCCAAAATGTAGGGTAATACGTGGAAAACAATGCTACAAATGGGTTCTGTGGTTCCCGGGGAAGTGCCTTGAGGGTCTGATGTCAATCCAAGGATGTTCTTGGGGTCGATTCAGAGCTTCAGACTCGTGTGTAGCCCCTAGGCCCTTGGCAAAAGTGCTACAATCACAGGTCTGCCCCCCTGCCCCCCTGCCCCCTGCCTGCCATGCCCCCATTGGCGTGGCGGACTGGCAGAGTTTTTGATTTTAATTTAGATAAAGTGCGCTCTATGGAAATCAGTTTCGCTGTAACTTTCGCGGCTTATCCGCGCTCCGATCCGCGCCCAGACAACTAAACACTCCATGAACACAAAACAACCGACAAGAGGGGGTGGGGGGGTGCTCGCCCCCTTGGAGCTCAAGGTAAGCTGTAAATTGCACGCTTTCATGTAGATAATTAATCACCGGGAGCGTTCCGCCGGACTGGGGAGCGTGCGGGGGGGGGTGTATTTTTGCATCGAACTTCCATCCAGTGCGATATTTGGCCTGTGGCTGGCTTTTGCGGCGAGAATGTAACTGCACTCCTGTGTAGATTTATTCCCGATCTTATCCGTATAATTTCAAGCCGGACGGAGGTATTGTGTGGTTGGGGATTTATGGGGCTTGGGGGCGCGGAAGTGAAATCAATTATACGCCCCGTTAGACACTCGATGCACGAAAGGAAACCGAAATGATTTGCTCGCAAATTAAAGCAATTAAACATTTGGCAGGAAATCGAAACAAGATGCAAGATTTTTGGCAAATTCAGGGAAAATAAAGTGAACAAATTCAACCAAAAAACAATCAAAACTTAAGCATCGAGAGACACAGCCAGTGGTGGAGCCAAGGACCTGCCAGTGCAGTGGGGAAAATGTGGAAAATGGGGAAAATATTCAAATGTAACTCAATTCCCAGCCAGCCACCAGAGGACGAGACATTCTGATTTGATTTATTTATAAGTTCAATTTGTGGACATTATTTTTGCAATACCAAAAGCCAAAGCCAAAGCCAAAAGCCTTGATGTGGACACCGGGGACTGAATGCAGGCGAAAGTCAATTCAATTTGCCAGGGCCAATATTTCCAAGGGGCAAGCGACATGCCACAAAAAGTTGCAGCAAACAACAACCCCACACAACAACAGAAGGGGGGTTGGGGGCAAGGGGGGAAGGGGGGTCTGCTCTCTGTGCTGCACATAATTACATAAAAAGAAAATTAGTGTCGAGATTCGCCTTGAGAGCCGCTCCAGGTGAAAACTTTTAATGAGCAATTTTCTTACAAAATTTTCCAACTGCTGAAGCATTTAATTTTTAATTAAGAAATTTCTTCTTTTTCGGTTACGCTTCGCGGAAGGACAGAAAGGCTTTCTTCGGCGTCGGTTGAGGGCACCAATAATTCTTGGGAGGAGTGCGTGTGGGAGGTGCTAGGTGTTTGCTTTTATTTATCGGTGGCCAGGAGCCGTGCTAATGGCCGATTGACACGCCACTTGGCCTTGATGGGGGGGCTTTTAGCCCGGCTCGCACTAGACCGAAAAAAGCACACAAAAAAAAACCAGGGAGAGAGACGAAATGGTGCTTTCACACGATTAATGTGTGTCTGTGAAGGGGAGACGATATGTCCGGTCGCCCCCCACCATACAGGGAGCCCTCTAATGAGGTGCTAACAGAGCGTGCTGATTGCTGCCATTTTTGATAAGCAGACGGCATTAATATTTCCTTCCTGGCGTGGCTTTGCTTTCCAGGGAGGAGCGACAGGGCTATGGCACCCCCCCTAAGGGGCCTTGGAATATAAGTCATTGATGATCTGGAATCGAACAAAAACCCAAAATCAAAATTGAAGGAGCAACGCGTCTCGGCTGCAGAAAAGGGCTACAAAAAAGAATGGCGGACTGCACGAACGTGTTCCGGTGCCGGCGCCTGGTGGTGGTGCGGGTAGTGCGTTGAGATGTGGCATGCCACACTCCCCCTCCGCCCCCCATCCAGGGAGAACAATTAAAGTGCCGTTTCAAATATGTATTTTCATATTCATAAATCTGCCTGCATGCTGGGAAAACTCTCTTCTGTCTTCTGTTCTACGACCATCGACGTTGTGGCGTTGTGCGGGGGGGCTTCCGGGGGGAGGGCTTCCGGGGGGTCTGCTGCGACTAAATCAAGTGTCTGTTCGGTGTCAGTTTAATTGCAAACGTAAATTGGATGCTGTCATTTGGTACGTTTTCATTTGTTCGAAAGTTCATGTCTCCCCCGCCCACTCCTGGGGTGGGAGGGGGTGGGGGTGGGTTGGTTTGTGCCCTAGAAAGATCCCAGTGCTGCTTCCATTGACTTTTGCTGCCAGTCCGTTCTGACGGACGGACATGGCTGGCAGCTGCCTCGGCAGCAGGAATCTGCAGAGAATGCAAACGTTGCACAAATCTCAGAGCTCTGTTAATTAGACTCATTTCGGAAAACTGGCAGCTTGTGTATTTCGTATTCGTATTCGCATTCGTATTCGTGTTCCAGATTGGCATTTCTGGCCAGGAGCAGCAGGTCCTGACGGCTGGATTGTGGGGGACTCCACAAATGTTAAAATCTAGATAAGATCGGGCTTCGATGGACCCAGCTGCCAGAGAGGTCTAACCTGCCCAAAATAGAGAGCGGAATCGCTCATTCGGATAAGATTCAAGGAATTATGGCTTCGAATGTGATTTCAAAGACAGGAATGGACATTTGTGCGTTGATTTCGAGTTGATTCGAGATAAATCTCCATATAAAACATCTAGAAACAATCCTTATAGACATCCTTATAGCGAATCTCAAGGGGAATTCATGGGATTTCATGGGAATTCGTGGGAATTTGTAAAATAGAATTGATTTTTGCAGAATATGGCAATGCAGTGTTCTGGAAATAGATTCGTTAGATAGAAATATACAGAAATATGTATAGTAATAGAGAAGTTGGACTGTATATGATCCAAAAATGTGGCATAAGGCAGAGTTTAGTAGTCCCTATGATTAACGCTAGATCCATGGCAAGGATACATCGATAGGTGTTATTTTGGGACTATATTGGCTAGGTGTTTTTCCACTAGTGTTTTGTTGTTACAGATCTCCCCACTCACAGCTCACCCGATCCCCCGATTCCCCCGAAATATCTGATTTGAAACTAGTGTCAGGAAAGAGTTTGTACAGTATATATTTATACACCCCATAACTGTACGAACATATACGAAATTTTGAAATGGCTACACAAAAAGAGCGGAATAACATAAGGATAAGGAAACTGGTGGCTGACTTCCGCGCCGCGTACGACCCGCGCGTCAAGCAACTGGAGGCTGACATCCTCGAATGGCAGCGCTCGCATGGAATCGTCGTGGAAAGGACCGAGGAAAGGGCCGAGGAAGGAGCCGAGGAAAGGGCCGAGGAAAGGGCCGAGAAAAGGGCCAAGGAAAGGGCCAAGGAGAGGGCCACGGACAGGGCCAAGGAAAGGGCCAAGGATAGGGCCGAGGAAAGGGCCAAGGAAAGGCCCGAGGAAAGGGCCAAGAAAAGGGCCGAGGAAAGGGCCGAGGAAGGAGCCGAGGAAAGGGCCGAAGAATGCGCCAAGGAAAGGGCCGAGGAAAGGTTCGAAAGAAGGGCCGACGAAAGGGCCAAGGAAAGGGCCAAGCAAAGGGCCAAGGAAAGGGCAGAGTCGGCCAAGTCGGAGCACAAGAAAAGGAACGGAAACGGCAGCGGCAAAGACAAGGAAAAGAACCCAGCCGTCTACTGGCAGTACGATTTGAAGGACTTTGTGCGGGGGGAGATTTTGCTGTACCGCGAGGGCAATTCCCTGTATCTTCATGCGGTCTACGAGTCCCGTAGACGGCGACGGGAAACGAAGAGTGAAATTGTGCTGCCCGTGAATGTGGAACAGTCGAAAATATCCGCCAAATTATCATCCTGTGGCGTGCTGACTATTACCGCCCCTCTCCAGACCGATATACCCGAAGAAATGATGCGTTAAATATACATTTTGTTCTGTTATTGATGCTAGTTTTTGTATTTGGATCGAAACTGAGGCTAGAACGGGCAGGGGGCTTGAAGCGGAGGGCAGGGTGGCCAGGACACCACCGGCTCGGGGCTCCAGCAGGCAAAGGGGCAAGCGTTGGGCAGACACGGAAGGAACATCAGGGGCGGAGCGGCGCCGAGGGCCGGGCTCTGGCCACTTCTCAAGTTCTGCATCAGCTCCGTCTTCAAGTCCTCAATGGGGGTCCTGCGGCGGCAGCAGCTCGCATCCCATTCGGCGACGAGCGTGGGGCAGCACAGGTCGCCGCGCTGAACGCAGCCCGGCATTGAGAAACTGTCGCCGTACTCGCTCTGAGGACCGGCAGGACACGTCGGGTCACACACTGGGGGACTGGGATCCACTGTTTCTTCCCCGTTCTTTGGGCTTTTCTCACAGCTCGAAGAGCTCTTTCGACTAGCAGCACTGCCCAAGCTTGTTGCGGAATTCCTGGGCGTAGTTTTGCACGTACACGACGATCTAGTGTTCCTTCCCTCAGATCCTCGTTTCGGGGGCTTTGTGGCGGAGCCTTTGCCGCAGCCCCTCGATACAACCTTTTTCTGCTTCGATTTCGACTGGTCTTTATGGCCAGGCTTTGTACGAGTATTTGCGGCCAAGGACTGTTTCTTAGCCTGTTTCAGATCACCGCTGTCTCGCGGGCTTCCCTTTTCCGGAGCGGGGCCACTGGAACCTGTTTTATTGGGGCACGTGGGGCACGTGCAACTACCCATGGTGGGAGCACGGCTGGGGGGTTCTTTTTTGCGGCACTTTTTCGGGGAAGACGTCTGCTGATTCCGAGGGCTCGAAGGAGTCTTGGGACATTGGAGTCTTACTTTTTTGGGGCAATTGTTCAGCGGTGCGTCGCCATGCTCCGGGCACCCGCAGGGCTTCAGACTTTTGGGGCTGGCGCTTTTGCGGCACGTCTGGCATGGTCTGGACGGCTCGGACGGACCTATCGGGCAAGGCGACTGGGGGCTTATCCTGCAAGGAGCAAGGATCCCCGGTGGGTTGTCCCCTGCGCGAATGGTCAGGCAGATGTTTATTTGACTGGGCTGGACGGGCTCGATCGATTCGTTGCGTTTGTTCTCGTTGCCTCTGCAGTTGGTGCAACAGCTTTTGATGCACTGCTCGCTGCAGCTCTCGCTGCTTCGCTCGCTACAGTCGTCGCTGCTCCTCTCGCTACAACTTGCGCTACTCCTCTCGCTGCAGCTTGCGCTGTCCATGGAGCTGTCGCTGCTTCTGATCCTCAAGTACTTCTCGCATATGCTGCACTCGTCGGAGCTACAATCACAGCTTCCGGAAGACGAAGAGTCACAGCTTTCTTCGCGACTCCGAGCACCCTGGGCGTTGCTGCGTTCATTCGAGTGGAGCACATTGAACATTGAATATTCCTGGTATTTTCTGCCATCATCTTCGTGGGGATTTTCCAGGCCCGGTCCTCTATACAAGGTGGGGTAGCGGCTGCCACACCCACACCCTACAGAGGTCAAGTTGAAGGCATTAGCCGGCTTGTAACCTTTTAGTACCAGAGATTTTCTATTAAAAAGATGAGATCTGTTGAGGCAAAGTTTCGATTTCTTAACAAACCCAGAGTTCGGTCCTTCAATGACCTGCGGCCAGGCTGTCTTCCATCCTGCCCAAGAGAGTGACGCGATCCTTTATTGGCAGCCAGGTTGGTGGCGGATGTCGACGGTAGACTGTCGCAGCCTGCATCCAGGCCCTTGGGCGCCGACTTGTCTTTGTGGGGAAACAGGTGGATCCGCTCCCTTCTCTTGTAGGGTATCTCCACGGTGGAAAAGGGCACAATGCTACTTGCCTTCCGGTGGCATTTTAGCACGTAACGAGGTATTTCCGAGCTATCGGCGTAACCTTTACGTTTCGGAGAGTGTTGCGATATGTTTTTCGATTCTAGACCATCTGGGGAGTACTTGTGCGGCTCCGGAATGTCTACAAAGTATTCGTATACTTTAGAGGGAGTTTCTCTTCTTGATTTGTGCTTTTTCTTCTCCTCGTAGTGCGGGTTTCGATGGGGAACTTCTTCCTTGAAAAAGGGCCTGAACCGTCGCGGAGACTCTTGGCTCTCCTTCGCATGTTTTTTCTCTTTTCTCGGAGAGGCCTGCTTCTCCTTGTGATTGAAGCTATCGCAGTGTCTGAGCCTAGGTTCCGTCTTATGATATCTATCAGGATATTCCTCCACCTCCCGCTTGTAAGATTTATTAGACTTTCCTCTAGGACCCTTCTCCTCTTCTCGTCGTTCATAGTGCTTGGTTTCATAAGTATTATAAGATCTGGGGGCACGGTTGCGCGGGCTATGTCTTGCCTCACAATAATCGTTGCCTGAAAACTCCCTGGGTGCCTGCTCCTTGTCACATATTTTCCTGTATTTGTGGAAGTCGTGGTGCGAACTCGAAGAATAATAGCCCGGGGAACTGCAGTTCTTTGGATATTCGGGCGGTACCGCCCATGGCGGTCTATAAACTGGAATACTGGGCCCCGGCACTAAGTACTCGCCGCTGCAAAGAGACCGAGAAGGGTGCTCCGAGTAGAGATTATAGGATGCCACCGACGGAACTTTTGCGTACGACAGATGCTCGTGGGACTCGTGGTACTGCCTGGGTACAGGTCTGTTCTGGTAGTACCCATAGCCGGGATCGGCATAGGCCTGAGCCCTGAATGGATTGGTTTCTTGGGGATAAGGGGGTCTTAGGTCTGGCTCCCTTATCGCTTCCCGTTGGGGCTGAGGTGGATAATATCTGTCGCATGATCTCTCTGGGGCCCCGTACCAAGTGCCATTCCTTTCGGGAGACCCCTCAATGCTCCTGGCTGTCTTGTACGTTCGATAATGAAAGTGTTTACGGCTTTTGGTGTACTCTTTGCGTCCAGGGGTGCAATTTTTGTGATCGTGGCGCATTATATCATGACTTTGGGCATAGAACTTGTTGGGTTCTTCCAGCGACATGGCGCTTTCCCTCATTCGATTCCGTATCCCCCCACCAGGATTGCGACCTGGAAATAGTACGGTAATATTCGGGTGTTTTTGTGAGCACTTTGGATCGACTCACTTGGTCCATTGCGGTCCGCGTCTATCTGGTGGTATCGCACTTCCTCCGATATATCGATATTGAAGTGCATACAGTCTCGGTTGTCCGTCTCGGTGCCCTTCATGCGGAAATGGCTCTTGGAGCTGATAGTTAACGCCATTTTCTACCAGCTGCGCCGCGCCACTCATTCGCCTACAACTAGCTGATATTATAGTGAATTTCTTACATGTTTTAAATTTGTTTAACAAGTGACAAATGGGACAGGACTGTCTAAGATTACAATTTGTGAAAATGTGCATCGAAAAATCAGTCTCCTATTTGGGTTTTCTATAGCCACAAAGCTGTGCCTATTCATTTGCCCATCACTGTATTTTCCCCGCTCAAGCACCTAGTTTTATGCGCATAGCTGTGCTGTTGTTGTTTCTGATCGAAAACCGAACTGTAAAGCTCTCACACGCCCGGCCGAAGCCCGCCGCTGCACACACATACACGCATACAGCCTTGCGTCTCGTTTCTGCATTGCGACCGAAGCGCCGCGTCTTATCGCTTGATCTTTCGATTCCCTTTTGCTCGACTTCTTCTTCGTGCGGACTGGAGTTTGTGGAAATTTCCAACTGAAATGTTGCTCGCTTTACCGCAGCCTCGCTTCATAGAGCAAAAGAAATGTGCATTTTTTTTAGAGTTATCAAAGGGAAACAAATATTTTAAAAATCTTTTCTTTATTCGATTCGATAATATACAAATATTTTTTGGGGTTTGAAATAAACTTTGTTATTTAAATTAATATTAAATATTAGAAGAAGTAGAACTTTAATTTTTTATTTTTTAAAGAATGGAATTGTAAATATAAAAAAAAAAAAATGTGTCCTTATAGAAAATGCTTTGAGTCTATTTTATTGATCGGCAGTGTACATATAACCTGTAAATCAACAATATTAATATTAAATATTAAATCAATAATAAAGTTAATCTACTAATTTGTAACCAGATGTACTCTTTACGTCGATCGTATCCAGGACGTACCCCTATTTGGACTTTGGGCATAGAATTTATTTTTTATTAATTTATTTAAATCTATAAATAAATCCAGTAAAATAGGTGCCACCATTCATTGAAAGAACTTTTAAAAACATTCGCCTAAAAATGCAGTTCAACAGGAAAAATATACATATGTACATATGTACATATATAAGAAAATCCAGGGTTCCAGAAAAGTTAATCGGCAGAAAGATTTGAAGAAAGAATTCTTGGAGGAAAGTTAAACATTCTGTAAAGGTAGCCCCCACATTGCTGGGATCTGATCTGAATAAAAGCGAGCGTAATTCGGTGCGAGTTTCCAGTCTGTGCAGCTCCAGTTCCAGTTCCAGCTGCAGTTCCCGCTTTTAATTGCAGCATTAACGCCCCAAGTGGCAACAACAAAGGATGTGAATGCCATGGAATAGAGGGGAATCGTGAGCCGGAGGTTAGGGGGTGGGGAATGGAATGGTCGTCATTACTTCAAGGGTGCTAGAAAATATGTTTTTAATTGCGGAAATATTTCCATTTCAAAAATGGATGTGATAATTATTCAGAATTGCGCAAATTTCCATCACATTAAAAGTGCAGACAATGGGGGGGATAGTAAAATGCAGCTAGCGGATAATGAAACCGTGTTCAAGTGCGGAAATGCTGAAAATTATTTCAATGAAACAGAACTAAGTGCTTTTTAAGTGCCCGCCGCAACCGGTGGGGCAGAGAAGAACTCGAATACGGACATGGACCCAGGCACGGACACGGACACGGGACACGGGACACTCTTTATAGAAAGCCATGAAAAGCGACAAATGCTGGGTATCCTCTACAAACAGAAATCTGATTATTTCGGAGATTCCAGGATTTTTACAACATTTACTGAATAATATTGGAATATTTTTGGGGGAAGCTTTGTGCCAGGCTTTGGGTCGATTATTGCCAAGGAATTATCCCCTAGTATGAGAAGACAGACCTTTACAGAAGGTGGAACGAGGCTACAATCGAAGTCCAAGTACAAACCGAAGATCGATCAATCTCCTCAACGACTTATCCTTGCCGAAGACGGACTCCATCGTGGGACTCCATCGAAGCTTTGGTAGTGAGTGGAGAAATGGCTGTAGCCAGAGCCTAGTAGAGGCTGATCCAGCACCAATCTGGCGTTTCAGAGTTTCCTTTAGTCCTTTAGGAGTCCTCCTTAAACCCCACTTTTGTTCAGTGCATTGCCGGGTGCCATGGGTACGCACAGCTGTAGCTGGTCTTCTAGGGCCTGAAAATGACTTAATTGTCGGCTAATAGCCGCGTGCCTTTGATGTGGCTAATTGCGCCAACTAAATGGTGAGGTGGAGGTGCTATAAAAGCCATTACCAGAGCTGAACCTAAACCGCATTCAGTGCAAATCAAATCAAGGAATGACACCCAAGGAGACCCCGACCAGGAGCGACTACTTCCGCGACCAGTGGCGGGCCTGGCGAGTCCTGGGCGCCCTGGAGCTCAATGCCCGGAGGTACTGGAGTGGAGCCATGCTCCTCAACATTGTCGTGGCCCTGTACGCGCCGGCGCTGCTGCTGTCCATGTTCAGCTTCGAGACGCCGCTGGAGAACATCACGAACTTCAGTCTGTCCATCACCTCGACGGCCACGGTCCTGAAGTTCGGCCTGTACGTCCTGCAGCTGGGCAGGGTCGGGGACCTGGAGAAGGTGATCGCCAGGCTGGACGACCGGGTGGAGGGGGCGGAGCAGCTGCGGTGCCATCGCCAGATGGCCAAGAAGCTGCGGCACCTGTCCAACCTGTTCCTCTACACCTACGGCTTCGTGCTCTTGAACTCGGAGTTCTCGTTCCTGTTCAGGAGCGAGCGGAGCTTGCCGTTCCCCTCGTGGTTCCCCTTCGACTGGAAGACCTCGACGGTCAACTACATCGGGGCCCTGGGCTTTCAGCTGGTCGCGATATTCGGTCAGATACTGCAGAACTTCGTGGACGACTCGTTTCCGCCGCTGGCCCTGTGCCTCTGTGCGGGGCACTGCCAGCTGCTGATCCTGCGCATCTCCAGCATTGGCCACGCCCCCAGCGAGCAGCAGGCCAACGAGGCAGAGCTCGTCGACTGCATCAAGGACCAGAAGGAGCTGTATGGGTAGGCATCTCCACCAGTACCCAACATCAATCGTAAATGCCTCTCCTTTCAGCTTACTGGAGCTCACCAGAGACGTCATCTCGTGGCCGATGCTGATTCAGTTCTTCGTGATGGCCCTCAACATTGGGGCCACGATGTTCGGGCTGGTCTTCTTCGCGGACACCATGCAGGACCGCATGTACTTCGTCTCGTACCTGCTGGCCCTCGTCCTGCAGACATATCCCGTCTGCTACTACGGCAGCCTCCTGGAAGACGGCTTCGGACACCTCCACTACGCGGTCTTCGGCAGCAACTGGGTGAGCCAGAGCCGCAGCTACCGGGCCAGCATGACGATCCTCGGCGAGCGGACCAAGCGGCATCCGCGCCTGCTGGCGGGCAGCCTGGTGCCCATCCACCTGAGCACCTTCCAGGGGACCTGCAAGGCGGCCTACTCCTTCTTCACGCTGATCGGCAACACGCGCGAAAGGGCCGGCCCGGATCCCAGTCAGAACTAGTCGCCCGGCCGTACAACTCACAGTTTCTCAATAAATACACACACACTCTCACCCTCACCCTCCCCGTAAATCCTTTGTGCTTAAATTTCGCGTTAACATGGCTCTGGAGACAATTTTAGGTATCAAGGGACCCGACTTCGTGATGCTCGCCTCCGAGACAATGCAGGCCAAGTCCCTGATCTTCATGAAAGATGGTAGGACCCACTCGTTACCCGATATCCTGATAGCAATCGTGTACCTCTTTCCAGACCAATCGAAGATCCACCGCCTCTCGGACTTCTCCATGATCGCCACCGTGGGCGATGGCGGCGACACCCTGCAGTTCACGGACTTCATATCGAAGAACCTGCACCTGTACAAGATCGCCAACGGGTACCACCTGAGCCCCCGGGCCACGGCGCACTTCACGCGCAAGAATCTGGCCGACTACATACGGACCAACACCAGGTACCAGGTGGCCATGCTGCTGGCCGGCTACGACGCCGTCGAGGGGCCCGACCTGCACTACATCGACTCGTACGGGGCGGCCCAGTCGATCAACCACGCCGGCCACGGCTGGGGCAGCATCTTCTGCGGCAGCATCCTGCAGCGGTTCTGGGACCAGAAGCTCTCCCAGGACCAGGCCGTCTCCATCCTCAAGAAGTGCGTGGCCGAGATCCAGAAGCGTCTGATCATCAACCAGCGCAACTGGGACGTGTTCGTGGTGGACGGCAGCGGCATGCGGCAGCTGGAGAGCATCAATCCGGCCTCCCTGAACTATGATGTCCTCAGCCTGAACTGGTAGAGCGCCAACATTGTGTTCCGCAGTTTCTTAAAGCCCAATAATTGTGCTCTTCGTTTGGGCAAAGTTTTATTTTAATGCTCGAACAATTTCCCGGGGATTAGTGGACTTTGGCCGGCGGCCCGGCTTAGAGTGGGGTAAGCCTCTCGAGGGTGGACGAGTACGAGTACGAGTACATGCCACGGCTGACTGCGTCCATGTATTAGCATATGTGGCATCCTCTTGTTCTGCACATGGCCAGCCATCTGGTGGGTCTGGTGGGGGGGCGAGTGAGTTTGTTTGTGCAATAATGACACGAGTACGAGGACGAGTACAGCAATGGACTGACGACTGGCAACTGCTGCATGAAACGTCAACTGTTGCGAATCGGAAGCAGAAAAGCCAACATGTCTCTATTTCCCATTTGAACAGCATTCAGTCAGTCAGCCGGACAGACAGGCACTCAGGCAGGGGCTGTGGTGGGTTCTAGGGGGAGGATGGAGTCAGCAAAACTCATAAAAATGAGCACAGATTGCTGCAAAAATGCACTGACGTTGTGCGGTGTTTAGCTGGAGCTGGAGACGGTTCTGTGTTGAAGTTTTCATTGCTAATTGGCCGCACATGACAGAGTATCAGCAATTGAGGGGGTCCTCGGGTCCGCGGCACCGTGAAATGTCAACAACGAGAGGCACTGAATGGCGAAAAAAGCATTGTGGAAAGATCTCTGTAACCAGAGGCCGATGGTCTCTGGGATTGAGTTGAGGGGGGGATTCAGGGGCCAGCAAAAGAGGGAATAAAACTATGATGGAGGCCTTTGGAATACCTCTTGCTAAATCATATTCCCATGGCATTCCATATACGAGTATCTGAAGGACCCCCGAATGTAGTGCGCCTGCCATTGGAAATTAATTAGCAATTAAATTTAATTTAATTTTCGAGTTCGGTTTCGAGGGTCTCTGAACAACCTGTATCAATATCAATCACGTGGCCTAAAGCCTATTGAAATTTAATTGATTTATCTAAAAAAAAGGGAATAGTTTTTCCAGCCATCCACTTTGGGGTTTTCCAAAGTTTTTTCGCGAGTAAAGGAAGAACTTTTGACATGTGAGCGTCTCAAATGAGGGCACCTGGCACCTGGCACCGCGTCTCTCGTGTGGGGGGAGAACCTAGTGTCTCCGACTCTGGGGGATAATGTGCATGTAACCCCCGTGTAAGCGGGCCCCAACCGCCATCCAGCATCAGCAATTTGTGACGTTTAAGGGGCGCAACGAGGCAGCGACTTCTTGACAGGACATTAACTTCCTTTTGCCAGGAGCAGGAGCAGGAGCAGCGTCTCCGACCATCCGACTGTCTGACTTCTGTGCGGATGAGTGTGTGACGTCTCTGATGATGATTCATGATGATGATCCTTGCAGTTTTCTTCTTTCCTTTCTTGTTGTTTCCGTTGTCATTTTTCACTGGCAGACGAGGCGGACGGGGCGAGGGCGGACGGAGTGCCAGAGGTCCTTTTTCGACAGCCTATTAGTTTTTATTATTTGTTGCAATTAGTTTTCTCGGCCTGCGACGGATACGGGTCCAAGGACGAGTCCGCACGGAGGCCTCTGTTCGTCTTTTATGACACTTTTCTGCACATTTTTCACCGGAATGAGCGTCATCTGTTGCCGCTGGCTGCCACGACTGCGTTTTTTTTACCCCCCTCGTCGGCATTGACAAGAGCCCAACAATGGCCGGATGGCTGGCATTCCGGCCGTAGTACTATCTATGATAAATTATGGCCAAAAGTCAAAGTCATCAATCAGAGGGCCATGTTTTATTTGCCGCTCGTGGCCATTTGCCATTTGTTTCGAGCCCCACGCCCACGCCCACGTCCCGCCCCCTGGCATATGCACAAGGATATGGAGGGGGGCACAGATGGTAGCTCGAAAGGATTAAATATATAATTCCGCAAGTGCGTAGACAGCCCAGGTGTCGGTGGCCGGGCGACAAGCATTTCGATTTAATTTTCATTAAAATTCAGCCATTAAATATTCAAAGGGTAAACTGCGGCCAAAGCCCATTAAAATTCCTTGAAGACTCGCAGAGCGACTCGAGCCCTAACAGGACTCCCCCCCCTGGCCCCCTGGCCACCAGGTGACTCCTTTTCATTTTCGAGTGCTTATTAAAATTGCAAAGGTCCAGGATTTGCGGACATTATGATGCGGTGGCTGCGAATTTATGCGGCTCGTAGTTGAAGCCGAAACCGTAGCCCGGACCACCCGTTGCCGGGCCTCAGCTGCGTCCGTTTTTTACTCCTGTTTAATTATGCATTTTTATCTGGAAGTCGCTCGGACTGGGGGCCAGGCCAAAGGCAGGAGGCAGAAGGCAAAAGGGAGACGGCAGGCCACAGCCACTTTGCCATTCGAGGTATGAAAGCTGCAAATCTATGGCATCAGCAGCTTCACAACACTGAGAGAAAGGAGTGACAACTGGGAGGAAAAGGAGATGGAACAAGTGACAAATAATAGTTGGCTTCGACGGGGCCTAGAAGGCGGAATAAAGGGGGAAGATCTCTAGGGTTTGTATTGAAGATGGAAAGGTCTTATTTCCGAGCGAATTTGGGCTCCATTCCGAGCAACCCGTGAGCTCCTATTTCCGACTATTCGCTACAACATGTAATATATTGATTTTTAGGAGGAAAACCGCATAAGTTTCCTCACAGATACGCCTTCGGCCGCCATTGTATCGGTCCCCCAGGGCCTCGTCTGGGTATCGACTGCCTGGCATTGATGTCACTCGCAGCAGCAGTCGATGGGAACCCCAACAATTGACAACTAAAGTTGCAATTAGGAGCAAACGAAATCCTTTTTGCCCTGCTCCAAGGAATACAAAATAAAACGCAACGGAAACGGAAACTTTTACGACATTTACACGTACGTACGGGTGTGTGCGGGTGTGTGCGGGCGTGTACGGGTGTACGGGTGTGTACACATTCACACGCACCCCGTCCTGCGTGGGTCCCCCGTGAAGGTGCGCTCAGGTTTTTAGTTATTCAGGGGAAAATGCCTTGGGGAAATTAGTGGAAAGCGAAAAATGCTGTACGCAAACATTCGTTCCGTAAGTATTTTGTTGGGGTGGAGGGCTGCTGCTGGTTTATAGGACCCGGTTACGGGTTTACAAAAAACCTCAAGGAATTGTTGCCTCTAACGCGACGGAATCCGTGGATCTATCGGATAAGCTGGCCGCTAAAATTGCATTTTGTGCATCAATAAACGGCCCATAAATTGTCGTCTGCAAGCGAGTTGCAAGCGATTTTAATTCGTTGCTTTCGAGGGGCATAAATCACGACACATGAGGGAACCAGAAGGGCTGTGCCATCGATTGCCGATTGCTGGCAACAAAATGTTCCATCGACGGCATAATTTATGAGGATGCGCGGATTCCAGACCGCGACGAACCCGGATACACATGTGACATCAGCAGGGACCATTCCGACATTAATGCTGTCCTTCAGGCGTGGGCTTTCCGCTGCCAAAGCCCTGACATGTCGAGGCCTTAACTGTGGGAGCTACTAGCTAGATCTGGGCCTATACCATGATGGCTACTGACGATGGGGATACGGAAAACACACAAGGGGGGATAGACTCTCCTTCTGTGAAGTTTATATCTCGTCTCTGGCAATTCATAATTTCTCTGGGAGTTGTGAAGTGAACAAATGTTTTCGTACCTCCTGCCGGGGCATACTTTCAGCATATTTTATTCCAACATTCGTTCATTCGTCTATTCATTCGTCTATTGTGCTGTAAAAAAGTTCCTACACGAGTACGAGTGGGAGTACAAGTACGAGTATGTGTGTGTATAATACAGTTCTATCCATCCTGCATCCTCCATCCTCCATCCATGTTGATAATCCCTCAGCCCATCACTTCACACACTTTTACCCATGTGCTGCTTCCTAAACTGCATCTGCAGCTGGAAAAAATCCACACACACACACGAGCATAAAAGGAGGGATGGGAGTGGGAGTGGGAGCGCGGTTGAGGGGGGAAAAATCCATAAAAAGTTGCAGTTAAACTTTTCAACATTTGTCAGAGTCAGAGGATTTGTTTGCCTTTGGGGCTGGCCAGAGCCAACATTCTCCTCGGCTCCCCATCTCGAGGGATTGAAACCCCCTTCAATATCTACTCGGCCACCCTCTGCCACCCCCTCCATTGGTCCGTCTATCCCACTGATTGTTTGCCTATTTTGTTCGTACGTCCCACTATTTGTTTTCTTTCCAATTTTGTAATTTCAAACTTTTTCTATTGATTTCTTGGCACGCATGAACACCTTCAGCAACAGCGACGACAGCGGCAGAGTTGCCAAGTTCCTGGTGGATGACCATGCGTGGAAAAAAGAAGGAAAGTTCATGCAAAAAAAAAAAAAAAAAACAAAAGAAGTGGCAAAGAACTTTCCAATGCTGGTGGATGACCATGCGTGGAAAAAAGAAGGAAAGTTCATGCAAAAAAAAAAAAAAAAAACAAAAGAAGTGGCAAAGAACTTTCCAATGCACTTAACACTCTGTTTCGAGGAAACCAAAGGAAGGAAAATGGAATGGAGGAATGGAGGAAAAACTGTCAGTTGCATGGGCAACACATTTATTAATGTGTCAATCGGATTGAAGACCTCCGCAGTCGAAAGGAGAACGAAAAAGTTGCCCACGGATGGGGCTCGAGACTCGAGACTCCCGGGTTAAAGCGTGCTCTATCTGCCCCAGCGCGGGTGTTAATCAATTTTCTAAAAAAGGGGGCCACAAAATGATTACATGACCCCCGTCGTCGTCCCCCCCGCCCCTCCCTCAGAGGTGGTCCCAATCGCAGCCCCTTCCGGTGTTCCTCTTTACGGCCGCCACAAAGGAATTGTAATTATTCGAATTGTTACTCGTCGCTTGGCCTAATGACTATTAGCTAAATGAAAACATTGCGTGCCGGCGACATTTTATTTGAACGGAGAGGAGGGGCCATGCACCACCACAGGCCCCAGCCAGGTCCCAGCCACAGTGGGGGGGAGTGCTTTATTTGCTATATTTCATGCCTGCCCGCCTGCCTGCCTGCCTGCACTTATCTCCGATTGTTCATCGGACTCGCCAAATGTAATTTGGCTTGGGGCAGAGCTTCGATTCCAGTTCCTCTTTACGAGTGTTCGAGTACTCCTATGTATGTTCTAATTACTTGGCCCCTCACTGAAACGCCACTTCAATTTGAATTAAAATAAGTGTGGGGTTGGGGGGGTGCGCGGATCCTGGACACAGTTGGCGCCACAACTTTTAATTACAGCCGCACAAAATTGCAGATGCAGCGCGGCACTCACAGACCCCCAAAACCCCAAACGGGAATGGAAATGGGAATGGCAATGGACAAATCCAAAAAGCATATTAATTGCGGGCTGCGTAGGCGTCTGCCGTAATAGTATATAATCGATTTAAGCATGGGCATTATGCGGCCGGGTACGGGTCTGGCTCCGGCTCTAAATTGCAATTCCATGTATGACAAATGGGTTTTCGGGTCTGGCACAAGGAAACAATATTCGCACTTTAAATTGAGTTTATTGAATGGGTATTTTTAGGCCATAGCCCGGGCCGGTCCGGGCCGGGCCGTTCCCAAAAGGGTAGCTCAATCGATATTCTTCCATTCATCTGTGTGTCTTGGGCCGGCAGCTGGGGGTTACTTCCAATTAGAAGCTGTTGCATGTAGCAATTGATCATCAAAATCAGTCCACACGAGACCGTCCCAGTCCATCTGCATGCCCTGCCGATGTAAGCCATCCAGGGCTCGTTATTGTTGCCACTGGCTACCCCGTCAATTGCAGCTGGTGGTGGCTGCACCACAAAATTCAACGCAATTTGTAAAATGAAATCGATTCAATTGATTGTTGACTCCGACAAACACCCACACACTGGCACAGCCATTGTGCAACCTCGCACACACAGAAGCACAGAGAAAGGAAGCACCATCCTGGTGCTGGAGCTGGTCCTCGTACGAGTAGGAGTAGGAGGCACGAGTATACGTAATGCCAAGCGACGACGGTGACAGGTGTCTGAGGGTGGACGTGTTCATATCGGTCCCGGTCCCGGTCCCTGTCCCTGTCCCGGCCTGCTATACGTGTATGTGTGTGCCTGTGCCTCTGTGTGCGTTGCACTTTACTTGATTAAATTTCAATATTTACTAAAATGTCGCCGAACTCTTTCTGACAGCTCTGTAAATTTCATAACCGGAATCGACATAAAATATGGTCAACTGTGTGTAAATATAAGCTTGACAAGCGCATAAGTTGACTGAAATGGCTTTCGATGGTCTCCCGTTATCTGACTCTTCCTTTGTTGCTGTTGCAACAATTTGTTGCAGTTTGTCGTGTCCTTGCCACCCAGATTTTGTGGCTAACTGCCATTTTTCGAGCACCAAATGTGAAAAGCAATTACTCAACTCCCGACTAAGGAGTTGCCTTTTACGTCACAATACTGTATTTAGTCCATATCGGAATACTCGGAATAGTCAGATTAAATGAAATAAAATTTCAAGCGAAAGCAAATACTTTCTGTTGAATAAACTGCCCCTTCAAGTGATCTCAGATGGATAAAAGTAACACCCAGAAGATCGTCGCCACTGATTCGAAGTAAGTTCTCCAAGTGAGCGTAGTATTCGTTATAGCCACGACCCTGTTTTCAGGAGTGAGGCTGAGAAAAGTTTATCTGAAGACCCCATATCTGATATGATGTCCCAGACGGCTATAAGCGATAATCCCAAGATCGTTGTGGATGCGAGGTAAGTTCCCCTTGCAAGGCGCACTCATATATCTTGTACCTGCTGTACTTTTTCCAGAGATGAGGCTGAGAAAAGTTTATATGAAGAGTGTACATCTGATATAACGTCTAAGATGGCTATAACTGATACTCCTACTATCGTTGTTGATGCGAGGTAAGTTCCCCTTGCAAGGCACACTCATATATCTTGTACCTACTGTACTTTTTCCAGAGATGAGGCTGAGAAAAGTTTATATGAAGAGTTTACATCTGATATAACGTCTAAGATGGCTATAACTGATACTACTACGATCGTTGTTGATGCGAGGTAAGTTCCCCTTGCAAGGCACACTCATATATCTTGTACCTACTGTACTTTTTCCAGAGATGAGGCTGAGAAAAGTTTATATGAAGAGTTTACATCTGATATAACGTCTAAGATGGCTATAACTGATACTCCTACTATCGTTGTTGATGCGAGGTAAGTTCCCCTTGCAAGGCACACTCATATATCTTGTACCTACTGTACTTTTTCCAGAGATGAGGCTGGAAAAAGTTTACTTGAAAACTCTATATCTGACATGCTGTCCAAGATGGCTATAGGAGACACCCATGAGAAGTAAGTATTACAAGACACTCGTGCCTCAGAATGTCTTGTACCTACTGTACTGTTTTCAGCGATGAGGCTGATATGACGATCCACATGGATATAGATGATACTTCTACGATCGTTGTTGATGCGAAGTAAGTTCTCCTTGCAAGGTACACTCATATTTCTTGTACCTACTGTACTTTTTTAGAGATGAGGCTGGAAAAAGTTTATTTGAAGACTCTATATCTCATATGCTGTCCAAGATGGCTATAGGAGACACCCATGAGAAGTAAGTATTACAAGATACTCGTGCCTCAGAATGTCTTGTACCTACTGTACTGTTTTCAGCGATGAGGCTGATATGACGATCCACATGGATATAGATGATACTTCTACGATCGTTGTTGATGCGAAGTAAGTTCTCCTTGCAAGGTACACTCATATTTCTTGTACCTACTGTACTTTTTCAGAGATGAGGCTGGAAAAAGTTTATTTCAAGACTCTATATCTCATATGCTGTCCAAGATGGCTATAGGAGACACCCATGAGAAGTAAGTATTACAAGACACTCGTGCCTCAGAATGTCTTGTACCTACTGTACTGTTTTCAGCGATGAGGCTGATATGACGATCCACATGGATATAGGTGATACTTCTACGATCGTTGTTGATGCGAGGTAAGTTCCCCTTGCAAGATACACTCATTTTTCTTGTACCTACTGTACCTTTTCCAGAGATGAGGCTGAAAAAAGGTTATCTGAAGATTCTATATCTGATATAATGTCTAAGATGGCTATAAGTGTTACTGCTACGATCGTTGTTGATGCGAAGTAAGTTCTCCTTGCAAGGTACACTCATATTTCTTGTACCTACTGTACTTTTCCCAGAGATGAGGCTGAAAAAAGTTTATCTGAAGATTCTATATCTGATATAATGTCTAAGATGGCTATAAGTGTTACTCCTACGATCGTTGTTGGTGCGAAGTAAGTTCTCCTTGCAAGGTACACTCATATTTCTTGTACCTACTGTACTTTTCCCAGAGATGAGGCTGAAAAAAGTTTATCTGAAGATTCTATATCTGATATAATGTCTAAGATGGCTATAAGTGTTACTCCTTCGATCGTTGTTGATGCGAAGTAAGTTCTCCTTGCAAGGTACACTCATATTTCTTGTACCTACTGTACTTTTTCCAGAGATGAGGCTGAAAAAAGTTTATCTGAAGATTCTATATCTGATGTAACGTCGAAGATGGCTATAGGTGATAGTCCTTCGACCGTTGTTGATGCGAAGTAAGTTCTCCTTGCAAGGTACACTCGTTTTTCTTGCACTTACTGTACTATTTTCAGGGATGGAGCTGAGAAAGGTGGGTCTCACGAGGTCATATCTGATACAGCGCCCCAGACGGACCAGATAAGTGACACTTCTAAGATCGTTGTGGATGTGGAGTAAGTTCTACAAGGTACGATCATATTCGGGTGTGACCCACGGACCTCTTTTCAGGAATGAGGCTGAGAAAACTGGGTCTCAGGAGTGCAAAACGTATTTGACGACCCAGATGGCTATCGATGACTCCCTAGAGATCGACTGTAGTAGGAAGTGAGTTCTCCAAGATACTTTTCTTTCCCTTTCCTTAGTCTAATTTATCCAGGGCCGAGGCGGAGGAATGCGTAGAACAGTCACCACAGAAAGACACATCTGTTGCGGATACATTCGTGGAGCCCAAGACTGTTGACACAGATGATAAGGGACCTGAAGTTGAAGAGCAAGTGCCCAATATTGAGGAGCCTGTCGATACGTGGGACCTGCTCACGGGTCGACAAAACCATAAGACTGTCGCCAGTGAGTCGGAGAAGGTCAAAAAGCAAGTGGGGTCGAACTCTTATCGCTCCGGACAGCTTCCCGTGTTTATGTGGGACTCCAGCTCGGAGGAGGACGAACCCGTAAAGCCTCACGTGGATATTAATTACGAGAATATCTTTGAGGACGTGGGCAAGCTGAGTGCGGTGGAAAAGCACCTGCAGCTGCTGTACAGACCCTTCAGCTGTGTGATCGAGATGATCTGCCGGTTCAACATCTTCGAGCTGTGCATCCTGATCTCTGACTCCTGCTACGATCCGGGCTGCCATCCCTCGGTCTCGGTCCGCACCGTCAATCCCACTGGCCTGGTCAAGATCTATTCGGGCGGCAAGATGGTGTCCACCGCATTGACCGCCGAGTCGGCTCGGATCTGTCTGTTCAAGGTGGTGCGGATGGTGGAGGAGTTGGACTTCAAGGTGAACGTGAAGAACCTCAGTCGGAACATCGTCCACGCCTCCTTCTGCATGCCCTTCAGCCTGGACCTGGACCGTCTGTACGAGCAGCATCCCACGAAGGTGACCCGCAACTGTCGCGCTCGGCCCTTTATCACCTACACCATCGAGGGGGAGAACATAGTCTTTGCTATCTTTCCCAGCGGCTTCGTCCTGGTCCTGCACTCGACCAAGCACTCGGAAACCCGGGCCGCCATCGCTGCCCTCCTGCCGATCCTGGCCCAGTGCAAGGACGGATCCACCAAGCAGTCCGAGAAGCAGGGTCGCGTCTGCGGCGACGTCTCCTTCAAGCTGTTGTGGGAGCACAGGCTCGAGCAGGACAAGGAGGGCAAGCTCCTCTACTCCTAGAATACCCCTCCGCACCCAGCCGCTCTCCTGCTTCCCGATCATCGGTTGGGGTCTCGTTTGTTTTGTTTAATTTCATTTTTGTGCTCTGAAATACCGTGAACATTTGTCATAAACCAAAGTTCCGCACGTGCACTGTTTACACTTTCGAGTTGTGAAACTTGTTTAAATACGTGATTTATTTACCAGCCAGCTGCTCCAGCTACATCCAGCTACAGCTGCTCTACCGACCACCGAGCAGCACTATAGGATACGGCTAGGCCTGGTCCAGGCCCGGAGTCGCCTCAGACATCACCCGGCCAAAGTTGCGCCCAAACACACAGAACAACAAACAAATTGCTGGAGAAGTTGCCGCTGGTTACTGGGTGGCAACTGGGAACCCGGGAACCGAGCTGCAACAGGCGCATACATAAATAACGAAACATTTTCGCATACTTGCCGCAACTTTCCAGGCAGGATGTCACATTATGCGGAACAAGTTGCAGGAGGGAAGACCTCGAATACATTTCCGACGTGCTGAGAGCACCTACCCGAATGGCTCTGAACTTTCCGCATAAAACTGTGACAGGAAGTCCCATTTTTTGTATTCACAAATCTGCTATGCGTAATTACTGGAGTTACATTTTTCAATATTATGGTTTCCGCTCATCCGAATGGGTCTTCCCTGAGACTCATGGTCCACTTTCAAGCGATCTAGAGCTAGAACTAAATGGTGTTTTAGATGCTCCAAACAAAAGACTCTTCCTATGGCAGCAGTTCAGAAAAAGCGATGATCCTACTGCCCTAAAAGCTCCTAAAATATATGAATGGAAAAAAGAGAGTGGATTTTTGACTCTATAAAAAGACAATCACTATATATTTCTTCATTAAGTCCTCGAGTGAGTGCACAATTTCACTCAGAAGTTGCCGAAAGTGGCCCCCAGCAAAGAACTACTCGTATAAAGTGCCTTTGGATATCACCGAGATACACATTACAAATGAACCAAAAAATCCAACGGCTTTATCTCTTTCAAATTGAGGTTCTAAACTTGGTTGCCCCCGGGCACTTATTGGCCAAAAATGAGCTGGGAAAAAGCCACCAGAAAGGGGGAAAAACTACAGATATGATGCATAAATCGATGGCGATGAGCTGATGTTGTGGCAATCGAGCCATGGAATCCGGGGAATCCGATTAAAAAGTTGCACCATCAAAGTTTAAGAAAGGAGATGAAAACAGAGAGGGAGGGAGGGGAGGTACGTTCCATGAATTATGCATTTTTGCCCAAGGACTTTTTGCTTCAAAGCTACAAATTATCCAGCTTGCCGGCCAACGAAAAGGGTTGCGGCTGCCTTTGAAGATTAGGCAACTCTGGCCGGGGGGCACTGGCATACTGACTGTTTTCGCATTTATAAGTGCACACCGACTGCATAAACGTGAGGGGCAGCCTTATTGAATCCGAAATTCTCCCCACAAACATTCAGGGGAAAAACCTGACCACTTTCTGGAGGGAAAAAAGGAAAATCTCCCATAAAGATTTTAAAACAGTGGCAACTGTCTTCTGGCGGTTAACCTCGCCCACAAAAGGTGTCGCAAATGGACTTTTGCAATTTTAATAACTGCTCAGAGTGGCAAACTGGTTCGTTAACCATCAACGGGCTGGCTGGCCCACAGCCTGAAAGACTTTTTGCATATTTAACAAGCCGGAATTTAAATGAAAATTAATCCCACTCCAGGAGCTGCAGCTGCAATCCTCAGTACCGTGCCGCAAATATGTTTGCTTTGAAAAACGAAAGACCAAATAAATTATTCCGTGTGCATATTGGACTCCCGTTTGCTCCTCTGTTCTGCAGTAAAGGTTTTAATCAGCCCGGACAAGAGGGCCCAAAAAGGATCTAAATATATCAAACGATTTTGTTGGGTCTTGAAGCCAACTAATTCTGGTTTTTGTCCCATATGTGAACTCCATCACCGATACGTCAAGAATGGGTATATTTTAGTTTTATGTAGATGTGTGTAACATCAAAAAGTGTTTGTATTGTGTAATCGATAAGCATCTATAGCCGATTCCACAGAGATATGTCTCTCTGTACATCTGTCCACCCGGCCGTCTTTCAGTCTTGGTGAGTGTCTATATCTCAGAGACTATCAACGCTAGAGCGACCGAATTTTGCACCCAGTCTCCTGAGATATCACACTGAATCAAGTTTTTTCTCAAAATCTTGCCAGCCCTTCCACAGGGCCTCCACAAAGGATGAAAATCTGTGGCACCCTCATGACAAACCGGCGAAAACTGGCGGAGGGAAGCGCTTGGTATTGCTGTGGGAACAGATAAACGGAGTGCAGGAATAAGCATTAGAACGGTCCTGGTGTCTCTCTTTCTCACAATGCTCATGACGAAGGAGAGCACAATTGAAAGAGATCGCGGTCTGCGTTGGCTGTCCTACCAAAAAAGCACCTTCCCCGCAGGAGAACCCAACCAAATCAATACCAAAAGACAGAGGAAGAGAGATGTATTGAATATATTAAAAGAGTTCCATAAATCATATAAGGAAAGAGCATTGGCTCCAAACGTTCACTCTCGTTTTTTATGAACCTACAAATCTAGAAAACTGTGGGAACAATACACAGCTTGGCCGATTCCCAGATTTGATTACAGGTGTCCATACCACAGACAATTTGTTAACCTGCAACAACAACAATAGCAAACATCGAAAGAGATTTTCGCAATTATACGGACTTTTTCCCTGTTCCATTCTGTGGAAAATTGGCAATTAGGCCTAGAGACGAGCAAGAGAATTGCTAGAATCCAGGCAATGATTATTGGAAATTTTCTTCGGCACATGCCGGGCAGAACAAGTTCTCGTCCTCGTCCTCTGTCAATAGTCGTATCCTTCGGATTGGGGGCGAATACATAAATCTAAAATTCAAAGCGCCAATAAATTTTCATTTTGATAAACCCCCGTAAGCCTTTTCATGGCCAAAAACAAACTTCTGTGATTTATGAAGTTCTCGGCCACTTCCCTGCTCCTTGGGCAATAAAACACGCAGACTCGTCAGAGCCATCTATGAACACGATACGAAACTTTTGCCCCATGTCCCATGTCCCATGTCCCATCCCGTGCTCATAAGTATTCACATTTTAAAGACTCCATGCGCGCAAATAAAAAAGATACATATAATATTCACTAATGTTTATGGGGCGAAAGAGTGCTCTTTGCTGCCCATAAAAACGGAAAGTTCTCAAGTGTCAAAACAAATTACTTTTTAGTGTTCCTAAAAGCAAAGTGGGCTACCATAAAAGTTATTATAATAAAAACTGTTCATCTGTTAATACAATTTCCATGGAAAATCATCGATTTCAATTACAATATCGTTGGAGAGTCGACTCGCCGGCCATGGGGCCACAGCTTGCGCTGATGTAAATCCATAAACAGAACAGAGACATGTTCGTCCCCTCTCAGATATTGCTGTATTGCTTTTCGCATGTGGTGGAGCACCAGGGGGGCACAGGCACAGGGCACATGTCATCAGGCCTGACATCTGCGTCAGCTGGCGATCAAAGTCAAATTAAATTGAAACAACTTTTTGACATCACGTCGGCCCCAGGACCCAGGCCCCCGGCCCCGGCCCCGGCCCCCTCTTCTAGTACTCATTTTGCTCTAAACAAAAAGACTTTTCTGCTTATGCCAATTATGGCAAGAACTCGGAAACGTGACCAATATGTGGGAATAATTTTCGGCAGGCATTATTTTAGGGCTTAGAGAAGTCTCCCTGGCAGCTGGCCAAAATTTAATGGCGCCACTAATGCCAAAGGGGAGCACATAATATGCATGTGAAAAAGGAAACAAGCTTTTACCATAATGCCGCTTTGTGCGGATAATATAATGGTAAATTGCGTTTCAACCTGGATTTTCCACAGGAAAAACCAGCGAATGCTGGGCTAATCCATGGATTAGCTCGAAATGTATTCACAGACGCATTTATCTAATTTGCATTTACATTAATCGATTGACTTGGTGTTCCATTCATTTATTAATGTGTTAATTACTTTCATTAGTGGTCTGGCTACCACTGCGTATGCGCGATATCAAGTGCGGCATCAGTTGTTCGGCGAAGGCCGCATGGGTGCTTCGACCCTCGAAGGAAACAAAAATATTACAAAACTATTTTTGAAAGGAGTTTTCCAATTATTTCTACAAGGATTTTGGTGTTTTCTCGATCTGTTGCAAAGGTATCACATCTGCTGGAAGTGTATTGCATTTCCCAAAGTTTGAAAAAGGTTTCCGCTGGATAAAGAGATTCCTTATGTCCAAGCCACCGCTACTACATTGGCAGGTACTACCTTCAGGAAGCTCCACGGGATTGTTGCCCTGCCTATGGTCCTCGTGGTCACCTTACGACTGCTCAGCCCACAGTTCTCTCTGTATTTCAATAGGTACCTAATCGAGAACTTCAACTGAGTCGCCTAGTCCTTAGAAGCTTTGGCGATGAACATTTTTACTCCAAAGATTCCATGGTGTGGCTTTCGGCGCAGTCCAACACATCTGGGCGAGGCAAGGAAGATGTCCCACAACAAGCGTCTTTTTATGATACTTCAGATACCCCACACTCCACGGTTTAGGGTAACCTCAGTGCTCTTTACTGTCGTATTCCGGGCGGCTCATGGACAAGTTGGGAGCCTGTCTCTTCGATTTACCACTCCTTGACCTAGCCAGCGATCGATTCAATCGATTTAAGCCGGAATCTTATGGGAAGATCTACCCCATCTAGCCATCGAGCACCAGAGAATCATTTTCTACTCCGTAAATTTGCTAGGCCTTTGAGCAGTAAGGCTAGTTGATAGAAAACTGCATAAATATCCAGAATTAGTGGGAACACCATGCACAAAAACTCACCCTTCCTATTGGCAACTTTCACTGGGATATGCGACCGGGTGCAGGTGATGGATGTCTTCATCAATGCCACGACCTATCTGCCGTATTTGATCAGAGGGGACTCCAGCTTTACTGAGTTTCAGCTGAGTCACTTAATAATTATAAATGGAACCTAGAACCCACTCCGACATGACAGGTACAATCGTTCCACTGATGAATAGTTGCCCCGAATGCCTCGAGTGCCTTTCACAACAATCACTTAGAGTTCTGACTGCAGTATGAACTCATTCGAGTGTCTCACGCGACGTTGTCTGGCCGGAGTGTTCTGGCTAATGGGGCTAGTGCCGCTGCCGCCCAGCTCCCAGCTCTGCTCGCTGCTGCTGTCCTTGGCGATTCGCTGCTGTTGGATTGTGTACCTCGTATACCTGCTGTCAATCGGCATCGGCTTCTGGTCGGTGGCCACGGAGAGTGTGGGCAATGTCGTGGGCACCATGCTCTTCATGGGCAGCACCATTTTGGGTCTGCTGCTCCTCCTGGAGAGCGTGCTGAAGCAGAAGACCCACAGACAGCTGGAAGACCTGCGCTTCCAGTCGCAGCTCCAGCTGCAGCGCCTCGGGAGGTTCGGACGAGGACGCCAAGCCGCGTACCTGCTGCCGCTGATTGGGACCCAGTTCGCCTGCGATCTGGTGAGAGTCCTGATCAGCGCCGAAGTCGGGACAATGATATCGCCAGTGTTCTTGGTCTCCCTGCCGCTCATGTGGCTGCTCCGCCTCCGATACGTGCAGCTGGTGCAGCACGTGATGGATCTCAACCATCGCTCGCTCCAGCTGCGCCGCTCCCTGCTCGCCCTGGCCGCGGGCAACGATCTCTGGCAGCCGTACGGCGTCCAAGAGTGGGCCCAGCTGCAGACCCTCCGGAAGACCTACCAACGCATCTTCGAGTGCTACGAGGTGCTCAGCGACTGCTACGGCTGGGGCATGCTGGGGCTGCACCTGGCGACCAGCTTCGAGTTTGTGACCAACGCCTACTGGATGATCACGGGACTGTACGAGGAGCAGAACCTCTTGATCCTCACCTTCAACGGAGCCACCGCCGTGGACTTTGGCACGCCCATAGCCACTCTCTCCTGGTACGGCGATGCGGGGGCCGAAAATGTAAGTACACAGCTTGTAGTCTCTACCAATTAACACTGACAATGATGGATCGGATTTGTACACCACTTGAGTGCCTGGCCAAGGGCTTGACTCGTCTCAGTAGTCATGTTTCCCTTGAGCAGGAAGCAAGCTTTCGCGCGAGTGGTCCTCAGGTTTTTCCACCTGACGCTCTCCGCCCTTGGCCTCAGCTCCAGGCGACACAGTCGGCCTGTCCAGTGGCTTCAGTTCGGCGGCTGGCTGTGCTGGTACACGGCGATTTGGGCCCTGACTGTGCACAGAGCCACCCGGACCGAGGACTGCGATCTGGACTGTGTCCTGCGATATGTCCTGCTCGTGTGTGAGACCGGGTCGCATGCCATTATCGTGACGAACACCTTCCTGCAGCAGGACGACTATGACTCGCTCGAGTGCTGTGATCCTGTGGTGAGTGTCACTGTAGTGGGCCTCCTGGTGCCCATCCTTGGAGCTCAGTACTTGGTGTGCTCCAATTTGGACAAGTTCTCGGAGAGAGTGATCTCGTATTACTGGAAGACACTGCCCAGCTTCCTGGGCCTGCAGTTCCAGATCATAGCCTTCATCGCACAGGTCATGTATGTGAACCTTCGCGTTCGCCTGGCCCGCCGCCAGCTGCAGGCTCTGGCCCGGGAGCTGGCTTGCAGCTGGCCCCAGAGCAAGCTGCAGGCCATGTATCTGGACCATCAGACGGCTCGGTTAGTTGACCTGAAGCGGCGCTACAACGAGCTCTACCATTTGTACTCCCGGATCAACGAGAGATACGGCGGCAGTCTGCTGATCATCTTCATTGTTTTCTTCGCGGGGTTCGTGTGCAACGCCTACTGGCTGTTCATCGATTTGCGGACCACGCCCTCTAGGCTGTATCCCATCTTGCAGAACTTGGGCTTCATCGTCAATGTGGCTCTTCAGATGTCGGCAGCCTGTTGGCACTGCCAGCAGAGCTACAACCTTGTGAGGCTCTATCCTCCCGACTCCTCCGTCTACTTACTTTCCTAACATCATCGTTCCAGGGTCGCGAGATCGGTTGTCTCATCTCCAAGCTGGTGAAGCCCCTGGGCAGCAGGCGCTACAACCATCTGGTCAGTGAGTTCTCCCTGCAGACGCTGCACCAGCGCTTTGTGGTCACCGCCAAGGACTTCTTCAGCCTCAATCTGCATCTACTGAGTAGTGTAAGCGAATGGCCGCCATCGAGTGGGGGAGTGATGAGGCTTCAATCGATCCTTTTCAGATGTTTGCAGCCGTCGTCACTTACTTGGTCATTCTCATACAGTTCATGTTTGCGGAGAGGAGTGCCAATGCGTATTCGGGGTAGTGGATAGCAGATCAGCGATGCTGGATTCCGCGTACAATCGTTTGGTAATTGTGGGATGGCAAGCCTGAAATGAATAAGATGAGCACATGCTTATATGATTAGAAAAAATACGTTTATGAGTTCCCGCTGAACTCTGATAATATATAAATATATATCTTATGATTAAGCTAATCTATACAATATATTCCTGCACTCCGTCTATCCCATATCCTCTCTCTATAAAAACTAAATGTTAGGCTAAGTTTGTAATCAAATTTAAGAACTATTTGCATACATCCCACAAGCATTGAAAGCAGAAAAGCTTAAACAAACAATCCTCGAGCGAGCAGTGTTGTAAAACACTAAGAGACACCAAGAGTGCCGGAATAAGCAAAAATGAAACGTTATCATAAGTTCCTAATCAATTATAAAAGTTATTTGCACACATCCCTCATGGCAGGGCATACCACACGTCACTGAAATCAGACAAACTTAAACAATCCATCCCAGAGCAGTGTTGGGAAGCGGCAGGAACATCGCGATGCCGACTAGCTTTGTCATAGTTGCCTCTGTGGCCCTAATTATTTATGCCGCCCACGCCGCAGTCCCCAGTCCCCAGTCCGGGTCGGAGTCGGAGTCGGGGCCGGGTGTGGGTATGGCTGGGCCAAAAGTTAGATTGCGCAAAGTTTTATCTTCGCTTTCTTAAGCGCATTTTACAAGGAGGAGGCGGGCAGAACTACTTCACGCATATTAAACTGACATTTCACAAGCAGAAAACTTTTTCTAATATGCAAATTCATGCCGAATACCATGGAAGGGATAAAGCAGCTCCAGCAGAGGCAGGGGCAGAGGCAGAGGCAGGAGCACATCCTTGAATTAACACGTGCGAGTTCGCATTAATTTGTGTAAACTGGTGTTGGAACTGTTCTGGTTCGGGTTCGGGTTAGGTTTTCCGCATGTGTTCGAGCGGCCCCAGCCCGAAGAGCAGTTTTTGTCGTTAGCTATGCAAATGCCGAGGCATGTAAATATTATTTACCACACTGGCAGATGCTCAAGATGCTCGAGATGTAACTGTGCCGGCACTTGTGGCCCAAATTAACATATAACAACTGAAACAGTCGCCTATAAATATTTATGAGGCTCCTCGATTAGCACTCGTTTTAGCCAGCTAGCGACTACTTCTAGGTACTCGTTGGAAGGGGGTTCTATAGGCCTGGCCTGTTCTTGGGGGTCCAATTTAATTTTTAGACCATACGAGAACACCTCGGTTCTACGAATGGATAATTAGGTATGTATATTCGAAATTATGAGAAAGGACTACTTCTAGGAACTCGTTGGAGGGGGTTCCATAAGCCTGGCCTGTTCTTGGGACTATAATTTAATTCAATTTTGAGACAATAAGGGAACCCCTTGGTTCTACGAATCGGTAATTATATTTGAAATTATGGGAAACGGCTACTTCTAGGTAATCGTTGGAGGGGGTTCCATAAGCTTGGCTTGTTCTTAAGACTATAATTTTATTCAATTTTTAGTCAGTACAAAAACCCCTCTGTTCTACGAATCGATTACTATATTTAAAAAGATGAGAATCGCTTAGGCTGATATTATTTTTAATACCTCTAATATTCTACTTCTTTCAGGACCATATCTAGAAACCATACAGAAGTCTCGGAATAACTGGCATGGAGTGCTCTGGAAATGTTACCCATACTGTAAGCCTATTCCTAATTTATTTATAATATTTATGATTAAGAAGAGGGCAGATCAGCGAAATCCCTCAAGATGTTAGAAAGCAGGTTGGATAAGCCATTCCCATGATCTTCAACCAATGATCCATCACCTAGAAGCCTGTCAATCCCCCTGGTTGTACGTTCAAACCCCTTCCAGTCACAACTAGAGTAAAATGTACTAACCTTTCAAGTAATTTTTAATGGGTCTTTAGTGGGTAAAATACCAAAATCAAAATCACTTTTGATCGAAAGCAAGTCTCGTCGACTTTTCATTGCTTTTAAGTGCTCGGGCGGTTGGAAATTTCTGCACAGCAAAGCGAGGTGTGCTAAGAGCGGTCTAATTGGTTTTTAGTGAATTATTAGCCAATCCAACTTTTCGACTAATATAAACTTGCATGCATGAATATTTTATCCACTTTACAAAGTGTTCAACTTTTTTGATGAATTTTCAATTCGAAGGCTGCTTTGTCTTCTCACACAGCCACAGGCTGGGAATCATTTTTGGGGCCGAAAGTTTTTAAATATTCATAAAATTTGAACAGACGAACACAACTTTGAAATGAAATTAGTCAAATGCACAAAAAGTTCATTTACACTCCATATAGTCGTGCGACTCGCCCGGAGCCCGTACTTACACACTCCATTGTGCCCGGGCCCCGGGCACGGCCAAGCCGTAAAAGTTAGAATAAATTACTAATTAATGCAGGAGTATCGGTATCCATACACACGAGTATGTGTGGGAGTGTCGTCTCCGGCCGCAAATCCTGCCGCCCGCCTGGTTTATAGTTGGCAATCGCAATCTATTGCGATTTGTTTGTTCGTTGGAAAATATGGTACTCCCCCTGTCTCCCCTCTCCCCTCCCCCACCAAGCCCCTTGCTGCAACGGACGTGCGATGTGCGAAAGCGAAATTGAAGTTTTATGCTAATTTGCAGCCTTCATAGCTCTCTCGCTGAGCCTAGGACCTTATCTGCCTGTCGGAGTCCTGTCAACACAAGGCATTACAAGGCAATTACGAATTTGTTTATGGCACTGGATCTCCTCGTCGACTTGCCACTTGGCCACACATCCATCCATCTTCCACCGGCTGCTCAGAGAAGGGATACGGATACCTGGAAAAAAAGCTTTCGAAACTGGATTCAATTTAGACCGAGGGCCAGGCTTATTCCAGGGCCTTTGAAGGTACCTTTCCCTGAGAATGAGGAGAGCCCACAGGAATCATTCAGCTCTTACCACAAGTCATGAATTATAGGATTTTCTGAAGGTTTTAGCATTGGTGGTAAAAGTTTAGAGAGCCTAAGGAATGTCCTACCGCAGCAGTGATATTAAAATATATTAATTATTTCCTCAAACCCTATATTTCGATATGAACTGTAGCTTCTGTAGCAACGACTATGTTGGAATGCTTTTGCTAAAATCCAATCAAAAGTCAAATATTGATAACTTTCCTTCCCATATAAATGTATTTCCTTCATCAGCGATCGGTCTGCCAGGGCATCTGCTGTCTCCAGTGTGTTTGGAGACTCATATATTCCTCTCTGGCAGCAATCATTTCACAGCTTAATGTCTCCCCCCTCCCCACCCACATGTAGAGTTTAATCAACAACTACAAGCATTTGCTGGGACACATGTACATGCGAGTACGAGTACGGTGTGCGGCAGATGGCCCATAAGTCAAGCCTAATAAAATTCCACTCTGCCAAATTCGAACGACAAAAGTAATCTCCGACACTGGCCCCACAAGGAGCCCCCTCCTGGCCACTGGCTGAGAGGCTCTGGAAAGGGATAGAGTGGGTTGGGGTGTGGAGGGGTGGGGTGAGGGGAAAAAGTGCGTCACTTAAAACTTTTGCACTCACTTGACCAGAAACTTTTATTTTCTGTTAGTAGATTTCCCACGGGCAAACCAAAGAAGTAACAAAATGTGGGGCCATATGGATGGCGGAGGGGATGGTGACGGGGGCGGGGGCGGGGGCGGGGTAGAGGTCGGGGTCGTCTTGGCGAGTGAAACTTTTTCCGTGTCCACAATTTGAAAATATTTCACAGTAATATTTTATTTTTTCAGGGGGTTCTTGCCCCAGGTCCCCCCCCCCCCCCCCCCCTAAATCTCAGAGGTAATCAAAGATTCGCACAATACCGGGCTTACGCCGGGTATACGCCGGGCTTACGCCGGGTGTACGCCGGGTGTACGCCGGGTATACGCCGGGTATATGTATTTAATTACTGTCCACGCCACGGGCTCGAAACGGATCCGGCTTAAATTGCAAGCTCGTTGACAACGCCGAGCAATAAAAATGGAGAAATGGAGAAGTCAACGACAAAAGAAAATAATGAGCGATAGTCGAGAAAGAGCACAAAAATAGGGAAGGGAAGGGAAGGGAGGAAAAAAAAAGGTAAAGAAAACTATATAAATAATTCAGTATAAAATGTCAGGAGCACTGGGGAGCGTTAGCTGGAGACGGCGAGTCCGCGCTGCCTCTCAGATGCAGTCAAGGAAGCAATTGTATTGTCTGACTGCTGTTTTCCACTTTGGCCCGCCACGCCCCCCCACCCCGCCTCAGCAGTATCCCTACGCCCACGAGCATCGCATCCGCCCGCTGCTAACTTGTTGACGTTGATAGTCGTACGTGCCGAAGGTGAATGGCATCTGTGGACGCGAAATTGAATTCGTGCCTGGCAAGCTCCGCACAGAGCTGAATTGAGTCACAGCACGGCGACAGATCCAGGAACCCGGGTAACCAGCACAGCAACAGGAGCAGGAGCAGGAGCTGGAGCACGGCTAGTGACAGGAATAGGGATAGAAACGGACAAGATGTGTCAGGTGTGGCTGGGACCCAGAGCCAGAGCTGACTTTGTCTGCTGACTTCAATATTTTGTCGCATTACGTTGACAATTTAGATGTTTGTCTCGCGCATTCTCGCAGGATTCAATTTGGAGCAAATGCAGGCCGTCAGCCGGGGAAATCTGCAAAGTTAACAGGAAGACAGCACCCAAAGAGCCACCCCCCTAGCCCCCCAACCCCGCCCCAAGAGTGAGGCAGTCCCCAGCCAAATGTGAATCCTAACATAAACATCAGTCTTGTATGGCCTGGCCGTAGATTCGTCATTCATTAGAGGTATAATGTCCCAAATCCTTCGCCTAAGAATGGGATTTTATGGTTAGTAGTTTTGAAATTATTTAAAAACCTTTTTAATAGTAATATGTAATATTCCAGAGAAATCAAATCAAAGATTGTAAGAGCTTGCATGCCCTTTGTGTAATTTTCTAAGAAATATTTCTTATTTGCTCGAGTTATGCAGAAATTAATCCAATTAATTTTTGAGAATTATAGGAAAAGGCTTTACTTATTTCATGCCAAAGGCTTAAGGCTTTATAGGTACTAGTTTTAAGAAATATATAGTATGGTTATATCCTATATAGCACTAGTTCCATGAAAAACCAACTTCCATTCCCGTTCGCAGCTCTTTTTGCTCCGCGAGTCTAAAATTGGCAAGAATTTGTTCAGCTTTTTCTCTCTAAAGAAGTCACATGTTCTACGAAGACCCTCTCCGGAGGACGGGCAGCTCCAATCTCTTCACTTCTGACTCCCATTCGGTGGGGGGTGGAGAGCCACGCCTCAGATTGCCATGTAACTGTCGCAGTCAGCCCGAGAGCCCCTTAGCCCGAGTTGGCATTTCATTGTTGTGCTTTTCTTTTACCATTTTTCCCATTTTATTTATATAATGTCTTTCGAATGCGAGAGTCGGCGAGTGTCCCTGCAAAGGGGGGGTTTGGGGGGTTCTTCTATCAAAGCGCAGGAAACACGTGCGGGTAAAACATTTTTCAAGCTTTTAGCGCTGCATACAAATCAACCCCGAAAAACAAAAAAACAAAAAAAAAACCCATTCACAATAATTTGTTGAACTTCATAAGAGCCAGTCCTCGCTCGGCGATAGTTGGAGGAGGATTGTGCTCTACCCCTAAGGGTGGGTTGTGGTGTTGGGATTGGGGTTGGGGGTGGCACAGCACTCAGCCAGCTGTTGCATTATGTAAAGGCCGTCGTCGTCGTCGTCGTCCCTAATAGATCTGAGAATGTGGGAAAACTGTAGAATGAAGTACCAGGCGAGCAGGAAACTGCAGAAACCGCCATCGGTTATGTCTGTGCAGTTTTTGTGGGTTTTGTGGGCAAACCTATTACGGGCTAATTGGGTTTTATATGTACGCATAATATAAAGCACTTACTTATCAAACTCCACTTCCGTATTCCGTATTCCGTATTCTTTTCGCAGCGAGCTGCATATGCGAATGAGCCCATTTAAATGCCGCAAATGCAAATTAATTTAATTGAATCCAATTTGGCATTCGCATTATCTTTCCCATTGTTCCCTTAATTTAACAATTGCTGAGAGTGTGGGACAGGCAGACAGAGGGGGGGAGTGCGGAAGAAATGAAAGAGGGCTTCTGTGGTGTGATGCTTGTGGGAAAGATTAACCACACAGTGGAAACTATTCAGATAATACAAGATTTTAAGGCGAATATATATTGTTTTTAGAAGAATAAAGATTAAAATACATTCCGAAATAATGATGTAGGAGCTGTTCTTCTTATATATCTAGGGAACTTTGCAAATCATCTCCTCTAGAATATTTCACTTCTGAAACAGTCTGCCTTTGTCTAGAAACAAGGTTAAAATAGTTGAAGGGCACTGTTAAAATCAGTTTTATAGCAAGAGGGGAACTTTATCCGAATACCTCTGTTGAGACCACACCAAACTGTTGCTTCTCTAACAGCCGACGAGCATAACATTTCGGCGAAACCCACCACACCACACAGCACAGCAGCTCGGGGAGAGAGTCTGCGCAGAGCAGAGCCCACTGTCGTCGCGACGACCCGAAGGCGGGCCACTCTTGAGCGAGTGTGTGGTACGCTCATTGGCGGGGCGCTCGTTCCGATGTCCACTCGCTGCTCCCGCCGGAGAACTCTGCCGGGCCGCACTCGCATTCGCACTCGCACTCAGTTGTTCGAATCGCGTGGTTGATGGTCGATGGTGAATTCGTCCGGCTTCGGTTTTCGCCGGGTCCGCTGAAGCTACGAATGTACGAGTCTGAAGCACGTGTGAGAATAGTCGAACCTCATGTCAGCCCAGATTGCAAGAGACTAGGCAAATACTCGTCAGTGCAACATAAATTAAATCGATTTGAGTCCGCACGAGATTCAAAACTAAACCAAAGTCAAAATATTACAATAATTGCCGTACTGCCCGGCCCCCCACCCCCCACACACACACGCACAACCCGCAGGGACGATTGTGTTTGTTTGTGTGCGCTCTGGCGACATCTGTTTGCGGGAGTGTGTGTATGAATCCAATTTCCGCCGTACCCGGCTTTCAGCAGCGTTTATCCGCCGTGCCGTGGCGGCCCCGATTTTAATTGCGCCGCCATCCCCATCGGAATTCTTCCTTGAAGTTCAGGGCCGGAACGGGAAGGCCCACTGCCTGCAAACGGAAAATAAATCAGTGAATGGCTAAAGGTAAGATGAAAGATAATTCAATATGGTCTAAGCCTGGCCACATTCCCGCCAGATTTTTGCAACGCTTTCCGGGAAATATTCTTTTATTTTCGGTAAAAGCACATGGATAATCAAATTATACACGAATTAAGTTCATAAGTATTGAGATTTATGGCCTGCTGAAGAATATTTCATGCCCCGCATAAGAAATGCTATAAATATACCCAAAGTTAAAGCTCTCTCTCGCTCTCTGTGGAACACATCCTGCGGAATTTAAAGCTGAAAGGCATTTTAAATTTATTGCACAAACGGCCCGGCCCGGCCCGTATATAAAATTTCATTGGATATGCGCATCATAAACAACATCCAGCACCGGAAGAGACAGCATATTAAAAATGTGACTATAACCTTGGCTCCGAAACGAATGTGGGTTATGCCTGTCCTGTCGGAATGCCAGGGTCTCGAACAGGACCCGGCCAGAGCAACCGCATCAAGGCCACAGCACAGCCGCCGCCGCCGCCGCTGCCGCCGCCGATGCAATAACAGCAACACCAAAAGCAACAGCATCGAGCCGTACAGAGTCCGCCTTTATGGCTTGTCCTGGTCCCTGTGCTACGGTCCCTGTTTGTTATTTGTTATTTTTACTGTACACATGACAATAACGCCGGCGGCGAGTGCTGCAGCAGTGCCCCAGCAGAGGCGTGACGGCATGCAATGCCCGGACAGGGCGCAGGAGGGCCCAGCCATCGGCTTGATCCACCCCAGACCAGGCCAGACCAGACCAGAGCAGACCAGAACCAACCCACCGGAATCCTGCCCAGTGCCTGTGCAATAGTTTCAAGTGGCTGGGCAACTTTTTCCATTATGAATGGTGCGGTTGCGCTTTTTCCATCCATTATTTACGAGTTTTGAGTGCAAACTTGTTTCGCCAGCAAACAAGTGGCGGCCAGAGGATTAGAACACTCGCTCGACCGCTTTCACACAGAGAGGGGGGCGGGGGGCATGGAGGGGGAGAACTGCCACTAAGTGCAAAAGTTCCTGGCATAAGCCAAAGGCAAAGCCACGCCTCATTCGGAAATAGCCAGATAGCCAGGAAGTGCCTTGAATGGCAGAATGGCAACATTTCACTATTGTTTATCAACGATTTCTTGTCAAAAAATATATATTTCCCACTGCATTCATGGCATTCATAGCACAGCATCATATTCGTATAGAAAAGATCATTTGTTTTTATACCCCAAACGTAATGGGTTTTACACATCTAGTAGTGCCTAGAATGAAGCGTTTTCGCCCTAGTGAAACGTATATAATATTGATCAGCATCATTAGCCGAGTCGATAATTTGCCTGTCAGAATGTCTGTCTTTCTTGATATGCTCCTAATTCCCAAAAAAATGTCGAAAATCTTGATGATACGATGAAACCAAAAGCACAGAAGCATAGGGTATGACCATAACTACCAGAAGGCCGTGTCTCATTCATATCAGATCCTTGTTAAAGCCAGAGTGCCTTGGCTACTCCTTCCAAGCGCTTGCTCCTTCTTTCTATCTCTGTCTCTCTAGCACTGGCCGAGGGGACCGAGATGTAACGGCTGGCTTTGGTGGGAAGAGCGAGAGAAAGGGGAGGTAGGGGAATAAGACGTATGGAAACACATAAAATATTCTAAAATTCTAATAAAATAGGGACTATATGGAAAGGGGATAGACATTAATTATTATTATTAGCACATTACTAGGGATCGTGGTTCCTCTATTTATATGAGTACTTTTCCCCATCTTTTATAATTATTGGGGGCAAAATTGAAAGAGATCGTGGCTTCCTTTGCCAGTCCCAGCAAATGGTTGCATTGATTGTGTTTTACTTATTTAAGACTATTAAATAATTAATTTAAAATATTCCTCTTATGATTGCTATGTGGGATTCAAATTTGAACGATAAGATACACGATTTTCAGAGCATCCATTAGCATATTTTGAGGCAAACCTCCTCGCAGGAGTACCTCTCCTCATATCGAATCAATTTGGATGCCCAGTTCTATGTTTAGTTTGTGGTTATATATCAAGCACCCCTCAGCAGAATTTAGCTTGTGGTTTTATATCGATTACACCTAAAGAACGAGCTAGAATAAACCCCTATTTGTATGTTCTTCTCGCATCTCGGCCAGGAGCGATCTCAATTATTTGGTGTGGCCAATCAGTACTCATATGTACTCGTATCTGCAAAAGAATCAATGCATTAACGTACCTCTTTGATTTACAAATTTGAGCACTTATCTTTAAGTCGTTTTCATTGTAACGAAATATTCTTTGTGGAATGCAATTTTCATAAAAAGTTTAGCTCGTTTCTGAGGCGGATCGATGCATTTATGCGTGAGCATAATTTCGGAAATCACTTGGGTACGAGTATTTTGCGAAACAAAGTCTGAAGTTTTGCCAACTTGTTTCACGCACTTTCAGTGCATGCTCGTAGGCCAGGCCGTCGCAATCTGCCACAGAGAAGCCCTCTCGTGCGCAGTGGGAGTGTGCTGCATTCTCTGACATTGATAAATGATTCCCCCCGCCCTCCCCCCTAAAGTTTAGCACAAGAAAACCCCAAAACAGGCAGGGGGAGGGGGGGTGGTGCTGGGGGGAAATGCATTCATGGCAGCAGCAAAATTTGTTGTTGCTCACTAAGCCGTGAAGCGAGAACTCTGAAAATTTGCCTGCTCGCCCGAAATTATCGCAGCTCGGCATACACTTGAGGGGCAGTGACAAGAGCCAGAAAGAAGAAGAAATCATAAATAAAATATAGCAGCAGATATAGACTGTGCCGGGTACTTGTACCAAATTTAATTATCCTCACAGCCAGCCATAAGAAGTGGTCGACGCAGGCAGGCAGGGAAGCGGAAGGAGCGGAACCGGCAGAACCAAGAAATTTCATTCACTTAAAACTCCAGAACGAAGTTCTTCCAAGCGAATGCAAATGAAAAACCACAACGCATGCTCAAGCCGAGTTTTCCGTTTGAGTTTTCCTTCTGTCCCTCTCCCCCCCACCACCCTGCCAGGCCCCTGGTTCAACATGTAATTAGAGTGCGAGGAATGCGCGCGGTTGCCAAAAATGTTGTGGGCGTGGGCACTTTGATGTATGTATGTGCGAGCGTGTATATCTATGCAGGGAGATACATATATAGATATATATACGTATATCTGTAGTTGTAAGTACTGTACAGTAGAGGACCCTCTGTAGGAGTCGTCTGAGCCATCTGGCTCTGGCTGGCCACAAAAGTTCAAGTTTGCCCGACTCCTACGCCGACGCCGCCGCCGCCGTAGCCGCAGCCGCAGCCGCTGCCAGAGGCACGATGATGCTTGTCTGGCGCTGAAGTCCTGCCTCGAGTGGCTCCGCCTGGCGGCTCCGGCACGAAACTTGTGTGTAAATTGGACGAATGTGCCGTTATGTCGATGCGTTGACAGCCAAAAGTGCACCCCAAAAAGGGGACGAAGAGAAACAAACTTTATTTCAAGTTGAAGATGCAGCGAGGACGAGCGAGAGGGAGGGGTGTGGTCAATGTAACAGTTTTCTTTTCAAATTCCGGTTAGGGGGAGGGCAACGCAATTGAGGTGACAGTTTAAGGCATCTCTGGGATATTTGGCATACGAAAAAGCTTTGCCATTCCTTTAGATCCAACCAACGGAAGAACCTTCCAATTTCCAGCACGTGGGGCTCCAAGAAGAGTTCTAATAGTTTATCCGGGATTCATGAGTTCCCCCCCCCCCCTTTTCTCCCCCTTGCACATTGAGTAATATATTTAGTTACAATTATTAATTATTTGTAAACTATTTTTGTAGCCCAGAAAACTCCTGGAAGTTCTCGTTGAAAGTATTGGCAGAGTCATATTTTTTCATTGATGATTCCAATATCATTTTCCCCGCAATAAACTTCCGCAGCTGCTTTGCCGGAGATTCCATGCTTTCCCCGCATTTAAAATGAAAGCATCATTAAAATCCCATACCCCTCCCCACAAAGCAAAATGGCGGCTAGTTTATGTCCGTATTGCACGGCGTAGACAGTGCGGAATAAATTACTTTTGAAATTTTTGCTCTTTGTCAATAAAGAATGGAGAAAAAGTGGAAAAGCATTGCGCTCGTTCACTCGCATTATTAACGCACATAAAACTCACATATAAAGTGATTTAAATTTATTAAATATAAAACGAAACCGCACCGCCCCGCCCCGGCACCGCCCCTCCCCGGCACCGCCCATCAAAGATGTGAACGCATAACAATTGCAATAAAATTTAACGTGCATCGATAAAAAGAATATCAAGCCGAATAAAAACAACAAAAGCCACCGCCGATCCGCAGCGGAGAAGAGAACTTCATTACTTGTTTCCATGAATGGAAAAACAACAACAAAACACACACAAAAAGTTGAAAAAAAGAGAGAGGGAGAGCGCAGAATATGATGGAAAACCCACTCACAATGGGCTCGACGGAAACAAGAGGCTCCCCCCGAACGGATGGGGAGGGGGACGGCCGTGGCTTTATGCATTCAACAAATGAAGCGAATGAGTCGAGAGCTGTCTCCACAAAGGCCGGCGTTAAATGTTTTATATTTAAGAGCCGCCCGCCAAACAGCCAATACTCGTATGAGTGACTGGCCATAAAGCACTCACCGCAATGAATAATTATAATTTTCAATTTTAAGAACATTCTCATACCACGACCAGCAGACGGTTTAATTGCTTTTCCTCTGCGAATCGATACAGAAATTGACCTGTCGATCCCGTCCGTCCATCCCTTTGGCCAAAGAAAATTAGGCTCTCCTTAAAGAGGAGGCAGTTAAGTACACATAAGATGCTTATGGATGCCTTCTAAGGCCTGATCAAAGTGCAATTGGATTGGAGCGAAAGACCATTTGAAAGGCCCGATAAGCAAATACAAAAATCGGTCTCCTTCAATGCTCATTCGATGCATAATTCATGCGGCAGGCGGTATTGTTATTATATCAAATCAGTGGCAAATAAATACACAAACACATACACAT